CACGTAGCTCCAGTGCTAAAACTGAGCAAAGCAAACTGCAGACGCTGAATTAGGCTTGCATGATATCTAAAAATAATTAGCATGTGTTAAACATTCATTATTATTGATAATATTGTACATTATTGGTACATTTTATTTAATATTATTTGCTATTTTTTTCTGAGGACACCGGCCATAGACGAGGATCAGAGGAGCTTTCTCTCCAGATTAGAGTTAACTTAGCTGCTCTTAACTAACATTCAGTCATTTTAGCTTGTTTTTTTTTTTTATTGCACTTCACTTTGAGGTGGAAGGTCCAAAGTACTTCTACATTCATTTTTAATTCCACTCAGGTAAAGTAAACTAAAGGGAATCTGCAAAGTTAACGTTTTTCAAGCTGTTTAACGGTACATTATTCCTCTCTAGTTCTCTCTCAGTTCTTTTACCAAAACATCGATTATCTCCATTTACACATCGCCATCGGGTTACTTATCCATCATTGACGATGTCTGATTACATCACCCAGGCCTATACAACTTGGCTGATTAGCTACATTTGGCGTGTGGAGGGGGGCTCTGATTTTCACTTAACTGTCACTTTAAATCTGTCCTGGTGAGGTTTGTGCAGATCAGGTCTGCTGAGCGAGCAGCTCTCTGTCAGGAGGAGAAGGTCTCAGACTGTTAAGGTCTCAGCCTCGCTCCACAGCTCTGACCTTTGACCCCTCAGACTGTTAGAGCAGCAGAGAGAGTCTCTCAGCAGTCACGCTCGCTCGTCTGCTCTCCTCAGTGGATGGAGTGAGATGCTTCTGTCCTGCTTTAGAAATCCCTGGTGGTCCACTTTACAGATGCACTCTGCTCCAAACTGCTCTGCCTACTGCAGCCCAGAGGAAGATAAGTTCTCTTGGTTCTTCTCAGTGGTTCTTCTTCATGTTCTTAGAGGGGGATCTTCTTTTGAGTTTTAGTTTCTACTCATGTTCTTGGGGAGGTTTTTCTTTTGAGTTTTGGTTCCTCTCAGTGGTTCTTCTTATGCTCTTAGGTAGGCTCCCCTTTTAAGCCTTGGTTCCTTCTCATGCTCTTAGGGAGGTTCCCCTTTTTAGTCTTGGTTCCTCTTCACATGCTCTTAGGGAGGTTCTTCTTTTGAGTCTTGGTTCATCTCAGTGGTTCTTTCTCATGCTCTTAGGGAGGTTCTCGTTTGGAGTTTTGGTTCCTCTCAATGGTTCTTCCTCATGCTCCTAGGTAGGTTCTTCTTTTGAGTCTTGGTTCCTCTCAAGGGTTCATCCTAATGCTCTTAGGGAGGTTCTTCTTTTGAGTCTTGGTTCATCTCAGTGGTTCTTCCTCATGTTCTTAGGGAGGTTCTTGTTTTGAATCTTGGTTCCTCTCAGTGGTTCTTCCTCATGCTCTTAGTGAGGTTCCCCTTTTGAGTCTTGGTTCCTCTCTTCATGCTCTTAGGGAGGCTCTTGTTACCTCTCAGTGGTTCTTCCTCATGCTCTGAGGGTAGTTCTGTTTTGGGTCTTGGTTTTTTCTTCATGTTAGCTAACTGGACATTAACTGATATTGGTGGTTGAAGGTGTTAGCGTTACTGAAGGAGCAGATAACACCAGCTAGCATGGCTGGTAAAGTAGCTCATGCTAACAGTGACCAAGTCATTCAGGCTCTACAGCAGATTACAGAGAGGAACGCTTTGAAGTTTACTACAGCTGGCCTGATGAAATTTACCATATAGTGAATATAAATAGTGATATAATTTTAATCTCCATCCCTGTTACTTTCTTTCTCATCTTTGTTTTGCTCTCTTCCCTCTATGTCTTCTCTCTTTTCCTCTCTTCTATCTGATCTTGTTTTTCTTTTCCTCTCTTCTCTTTCTTTTTTCCTTTCTCATTTCTGCTCTCCCTCGCCCCACCCCCACTTTTTTCCTTCCCATGGGAGACATACACATTCATTGATTCCCCAGCACAAGAGCCATATTATCTCTATCTCTCTCTCTCTCTCTCTCTCCCGCTCTCTCTCTCAGAGAGAAGCTGGCGGTCAGCAGAAAGAGAGCACTCATATTTATTCATGTTTATGGTGTGATGGTGCAAGTGAAGTGATGTTGTTGTTGTTGTCGTTGTTGTTGTTGTTGTCTTCACATGTGGATGAGCTTGCAGGTCTGAGCTGTTTTGGGGAGTTTTTGAAAATCGCTGCTATCTCAGCCTGTGATAAACAAAAACGTTCTAAACCTGATGTGTTTTGTCTCATGTATGTTCTCCCCTGAATGTGAAATGAATTATGGGTCATTAAAGAGTGGAGCTTTGAATATTGCCCAGTGCAGGCCGAGCCTTTTCTAACTCTCTCACTCAGGCTTCTTTACATTGTTGTTTATGGAGTGACTGAAAATCGAAGCTTACTTCACCGTTTTAAACTGCACTTTTAGACCCACCCATTAAGCCTACAGCAGTTTAGACCCACCCTTTCAGCCTACAGCAGTTTAGACCCACCTATTCAGCCTACAGCAGTTTAGACCCACCTATTCAGCGTACAGCAGTTCAGCTCCATCCATTCAGCCATGCAGCAGTTTAGCCCTACTTATTTAGGCTACAGTCATTTAGCTCCACCTATTCAGCCTATAGCAGTTTAGCCCCACACATTCACACTGAAGTTATAGGGAGTGTTTTCTCGTAATTCGGAGGATGCTGTGATATTCAGGGAAAAACGTACACAGTGGAACATTTTGGTTTCCAGCAGCTGAGAGAGCTGTGATTTTAGAAAATGCTGTTCGATTTGAGTGTGACTACAAAACACTGCCACTATATAGTGACGCAGGACCTCAGCAGTCTGTGTTCTGATGCAGTCAGATTCGGGTGGATGGTTTGTTGATTTGATTGTTTTATATGCGTGGAGTTAAGTTACATTGCTGTGCAGCGTAAACAGATACAGAGTGATTCATTAATGCATTACATACACAGCTAATCAATACGATCAATACAACCTCTCAGAGAGCAGAGAAATACTCTCACTGTGTCCACCTCTCCCTCTGTCTGTCTCTGTCTGTCTCTCTATCTCTCTCACTATCTCTGTCTCTATCAGTCTCTCTCTCTCTCTCTCTCTCTCTCTCTCTCTCTCTCTCTCTCTCTCTCACTCTCTCTCTCTTTCTCTTTCTCTCTCTCTTTCTATCTATGAGCCTAAGCTCAGGTTAATAACTGATAACACTGAAGATTTGAAAATCTCTCTCTCTGTGGATGAGGGTGTTGATGATGAGGAGGATGATGACTGTGATGATGAACATTAGAATGATGGCGACTAAGAAAGTAGTGGTGGTGATGAGGATGATGATGACGGTGATGAGGATGAGGATAATGGTGACTATGAAAACAGTGATGATAGTGATGATGTCTGTGATGTGATGAGGATGATAATGAAGATAACCGATGATGATAGTGACTAAGAAAATAATGGTGGTGATGAAAATGATGGTGATGTAAAAGACAATGGTGATGAAAGTGTTGGTGATGAAATGATGGTGATGAAAAATGTGATGATGATGGTGATGAAAATTATGGTGATGTAAAATGTGATGGTGAAGGTGATGAAAATGATGGTGATGAAAACGATGATGTAAAAGGTGATGGTGATGTGAAAGATAATGGTGATGAAAATAGTGGTGAATTAAAAATGTGATGGTGATGAAAATGATGGTGATGTGAAATGTGATGGTGATTAAAATGATGGTGATGAAAAATGTGATGGTATATGTGATGAAAATGATGGTGATGTGGAAGGTGATGATGAAAATGAGGGTGATTAATTTTCATCACCATCTCATTTTACATCACCATCATTTTCATCACCACCATTATTTTCTTAGTCACTATCATCATCATCCTCATTACATCACAGACATAATCACTATCATCACTGTTTTCAGTCACCATTATCCTCATCCTCATCACCGTCATCATCATCCTCATCCTCATCACCACCACTACTTTCTTAGTCGCCATCATTCTAATGTTCATCATCACAGTCATCATCCTCATCATCAACACCCTCATCCACAGAGAGAGAGATTTTCAAATCTTCAGTGTTATCAGTTATTAACCTGAGCTTAGGCTCATAGATAGAAAGAGAGAGAGAAAGAGAAAGAGAGAGAGAGAGAGAGAGAGAGAGAGAGAGAGAGACTGATAGAGACAGAGATAGTGAGAGTGAATTAAAAATGTGATGGTGATGAAATGATGGTGATGTAAAATGTAAAATGTGATGATGACGGTGATGAAAATGATGGTGATGTAAAATGTGATGGTGAAAGTGATGTAAAATGTGATGGTGAAGGTGATGAAAATGATGGTGATGTGAAGGTGATGAAAATGATGGTGATGAAATTGATGATGATGTAAATTGTGATGGTGATGTCAAATGTGATGGTGATGAAAATGATGGTGATGTGACGTCATGGTAAAGGTGATGAAAATGATGTTGATGTAAAGGATAATGGTGATGAAAATGGTGATGAATTAAAAATGTGATGGTGATGAAAATGATGGTGATGTAAAAGCTGTTGATGATGTCACTATTTTCCTCCACTCTGCAGTATTCTGAAAGGTCTGTATTTCCTGCAGTGTCGGTCAGTGTCGGTCAGCTCCACCATGCTGTTTCACTCACTGACGATCTGAAGGTGGTGATCCAACTGCACTGAATTTACAAATCCTAACATTTGAAGTTTTATAACTGAATCCCATCTACATGATTCTGTAAATTGCAAGAAGCAAATAGCAAAAAAAAATCATATCAGCTGAATGATTTTGTGCTTCCGTTACAGCTGAGAGTTTTTGCGCTCCTGTTGATACAGTGTCAGAAACCACACAGTCAAGTCTGACTGACAAGCTTCACCTCAGAGCTCCAGAGCTACAGCTAAAGAAAACATCACCAAACACCAGACCTGTCTGGCTGATTGGATTAAGTGGGGCAACTGGGGGAATTTAACTCTAACACTTTAATATTTCTCTCTCTTTGTCTCTCTCTTTGTCTCTCTCTCTCTCTCTCTCTCAGGCCGGGGCGTCCTCTATGTGGGCGTCCTGCTGTGGGTTGTTGAATGAGGTGATCGGTACAGGGTCAGTGCGGGGGCAGCAACCTGGCTTTGGTGGGGCTGCCGGACCCTTCCGTTTTGCCCCGAGTGCCGGATACTCCACCTACCCCCCCACCCCAACCCCCACCGCTACCACTGGACTGGTGTGCAAGGCCTGCGGACTCGCATTCTCCGTCTTCAGACGCAAGGTAGGATAGAGGGCATATTACTGAGCTTCCATTTACTGGCCACTTTATTAGAAATGCCTACCGTGTGCTTCCCTTAACTGGCCACTTGATTAGAAACTCCTGTCTTGTGCTTCCACTAACTGGCCACTTTATTAGAAACACCAACCTTGTGCTTCCACTAACTGGCCACTTTATTAGAAACACCTACCTTGTGCTTACATTCACTGACCACTTTGATAAATATTATCTATTTACTATACATATATATATGATTTAGTGGTAGTTCAACTTTATTTATGCTGTTCTTGAATTTGCGAGATTTCTCTTCATGTGTGCTTTGTCTCGCTGAAAATTAGTCCTGCACTGCAAGATACTGTGGCAGGTCCAGCGGGAATCCTTTGGGAGTGCAGACGTCTACTTTTCGGCCACTATAATTATATGTAAAAAACGCTTGATAACTACTCGTAGCAGAACACTACAGACGTGCTAAGTGCAATATTACATAAAGCTAAAAGATCATAGGCTTTTAAGATAGTGTCAGTTAATGAGAAAAGCCCTCTGCTCGCCAGACAGCACCAAGGTGGAGAATGTGCTGGTAAAATATCATTTACAGTCACAAAGTCTGACATCTGTTGCTGCACAATTAATCTTGGCTCTGTTTTTAGGGGTGGGCGACATGAAGAAATATGAAAAATACATTTTCATGGCATACAATATGCATCACATTATTCTGGCACAGACAAAATATGCTAGTAGTGTCACATTTAAAAACTGCTGTCAAAAGCTATGAACAGTGATTGTTGTTCAACATTTCACATAAGGTACTGCACTACTCTCTTTGTAAAAGAACATGATTAGTCAGTGTTCTTTAATTATTAAATCGTCCACATACTCACAATTACTCTACTCCATTACAATTACAAAACTTATCACAGTAATGATAAAATGTGATCATATGGAATTCCGTGTGGCTAATCACTCTTTCTGTCTCTCTCTCCGGCAGCATGTTTGTTCGGACTGTAAGAAGAGCTTCTGCTCGCTGTGCTCGGTGCTGCAGGAGAACCTGCGCAGGTGTGTTACCTGCCACCTGCTGTGGGGGACGGCATTCCAGCGACGACGTTTGATGCGTCTGCGTGTGAAGGACCTGCGCCAGTACCTGCGTCTGCGCAACATAAGCACCGACACCTGCAGGGAGAAGGAGGATCTGGTGGAGCTGGTGCTCAGACACCTGGGGGCAGAGCTACAGCCACCGGAGGACCAGGAGGAGGAAGAGGAGGAAGAGGAGGAAGAGGAGGAGGCGGAGTCAGACAGTCTGCATCATGCTCTGCCCACAGCCCTAACCCCGCCCCCTGCAGCGCGCTCCACCTCCCAGCAGTCTGTCTCTGCACTGTCAGTCTCCGCCTCTCAGGGAGAAACTCCCAGCCCCAGCAACAGCTCAGGAACCAGCCAGGTATGTAGCGCACAGGTGAACCCTGTAGATCTGTCTCCATGCTTGCACTTATTTCCATGGTTTCCTTACACCCATTTCCATGGTTGCCCTACACCCATTTCCATGGTTACCCTACACCCATTTCCATGGTTTCCCTACACCCATTTCTATGGTTACCCTACACCCATTTCCATGGTTTCCCTACACCCATTTCATTGGTTACCCTACACCCATTTCCATGGTTTCCCTACACCCATTTCCATGGTTTCCCTACACCCATTTCCATAGTTTCCCTACACCCATTTCCATGGTTTCCTCACACCTATTTCCATGGTTTCTCTACACCTATTTCTGTGGTTTTCCTACACCCATTTCTTTGGTTACCCTGCACTGATTTCCATGGTTTAGGCACATTTCTATGGTTACCCTACACCCTTTTCCATGGTTACCCTACACTCCATGGTTACACAGTTCCCATTTGTATGGTTACACTACCGCAGTTTCAATGGTTACACTATGCCATTTTCCATAATAACACTATGCTAATCTCCATGGTTACAAAATGCTTGTTTGCTTGATTGTGCCATGCCCATTTTCAGTAATAAGGAGTAATATGCTACACCTCTTTCCTTAGTAACACTATTCTGATTTCCATGGTTATGCAGAGCCCATTTCCTTGATTTAGTTACACCTATTTCCATGGTTATGTCAAACCGATTTCAGTGGTTATGTTACACCAATTTCCATGGTAACACTTCTGAAACCAAAACTGCACACTTGCACACAGATACATGTACATATGTGCTGTACTCTGTCTCACCCTGCGCTCCTCTGTGTTCCTCTACAGCCGCCGGGCTGAGCCGCTTATGTAACTGAGGAACAGCCTGCTTTATAATTCCCTCCACAACCAGAGCACTGAACACGCACACAGAGCGGCTAAGCTGGAATGCCGGCGCTCCGTCTTCTGAATGTGGAAAAACAATCCAGCCTTTAAACTCTCAGTGGATATCAGACAGATTTAGCTCTCTGTGTTAAGACAAACAAAAGTGCAATCTGTGTGAAATACCATTATCTACATTAGCCCATGTTTATAGATAACAGTGAGTCATACAGTGTCAGACACCACATAATCAAGAGAATAATTAGAGATACTAAACGTCTCCACACGAGATATGAAGTTGAAGTTGACTTCCTTTTCTCCAGCTTCTCATTCGAATTTTCAGTTCCACCTTAAATGGTGCAGCAGTTAAATTCTGGCCCCTAACGTATTTCGGCCAAGTGTGATGATTTAGGCATGGTGCTAAGCGGTGGAGTATTGTCTTCCAGTTGGAGAACGGGAGAGAAAACTGGGAATATTTTTGCTGAACTGTTGCTTTAAGGAGATTGCATGTCAGTTATTTCAAGGTCCTGGTGATGCTGCAGAAGTGCGTGAGGAGCAAAGACTGACCCATACATTATTAAATCAAACTCACAGGGGTCAGCACGCAGAGCTGAGTGGACTGTAGCGTTAGCAGCACACAGAGACAGACAGTTTTCTTATGTGGTCAGTTTACATTACATAATTATTTAAATCAAATTAATTAATTACATAGTTACATAATGAATCACGTTACTGTTCTGTACGGACAGGTTTGCACTTTGTTTGTTTCGGCTTTCAAAAATGACAGAAACAGCCACAATGTAAAGTCAGTTTTTTTCTCTCTGCAAAACAAGACGGTACACACAACAACTTCAACGAATTCAAATCTAAATAAAATACTTACAGACACAAATGTGGCGTGGATTGAAAGTTTAGGATCTGCACTTTCCACACTATTTCTCCACTTGTTTTGATGAGCTACGAGTCAGAAATATTCAACAGAACAGCAGAAGAGGCATTTTAAGAAAGTGTTAGCAGTACAGTGAGAGCTAAATGTGGACTTTCAACATCAGCTAAGAGTAGTGGCTCAAGATGCTGACGATTCCCTCTGCAGGAAAAGACACAAGTACTTTATGACATCAAATGGAAGTTTCATAAAGCAATAAGTCATGAGAAAATGTGCATTACAGTGATTTTATCATGGGTAAGTGTGCTATTAGGCACCATAGGAAGTAGAGTAAAACCCCCTGTGATAAAATCACTGTAATGCACAGCCTCAGGTGGCTTATTGCTTTTTCGAAAACTGTGGACAACGTAAAATATAATAAAATACTAATACGTTTTTAATAAATAATTTGTTATTCGTAATAATTGAGATAATCAATCATTCCACCAGGAAATATATCTGTGGTTGCTTTAGAGCAGGAGTAATCTGCTGAGAACAGAATTCTGACAAACTCGTCACTTCAAGACATTTTTTAAATGTTTAGTGCCTTTTATATAAGAGTTAGCCCCACCCACACAGTCTGATTGGTTGAAAAGTGTTGATGGTTTTTCACCATACCTGTATCATCCAGCTAATTGCCAGTTGCTAAGCAACAATGCTGTTCGTAACAAACCATTTGTGATGATGATGAGAAGTACTTTTTAAAGATGTACAGTCAAATGCAAAAGTTGTAAAGTGTAAATTAAGTTAACACATCCTCTACAGAGAACACACTTCTGCGCATTTTAATACACAACCACTGTTTATTTACTGAATTTAACATATTGGGGAAAAAATTTAACATAAAATATGCTTGCAGAAGTTATAGCACATTTTATACTATTTTTACAGTATGCTGAAATCAGCAAAAAATACCATATTTACATTTCTCTTATTTTATTTTATTTTATTTTATTATTTTCCCCCTGAGCCTCACTTATAACATCAGTGTGGTTTTATAAAATAAAACAAGCAGTCATAGTTCATTTCTAGATGCTTCTCTTTATCTTTTACAGTTAATCAGGCTCTTTTTGTTGCTGTGCCTTTAAGACTGATATATGTAAATGAGCTCTTCTGATTGGCCACCCTATGTCATGCCTCTTTAAAAAGCAAAAGATTTGAAACACTCCTATAATGCCAGTGATAATGGGTGGAGCTAAACCAATGCAGGCTGAGTATATTGCTGCTGTCAGAAGAAAATCTTGTATCTCCATTTTTGTTGTTTTTCAGTTTTTGACATAATTTTAAAAAGCCTGTTACCCTTTACATTGTTTGTAAATTTTGTGAAGAATGGACCAAAAGAAATGACCCAAAATGACTTGGAAAAAAGTCTGGTTCCATTGACTTACAGTAAAAGTAAAGTAGATTTTTTCCTTCTCCTGTAAAGTTACCATTTTGGAGATGCAAGGTTTTCTTCCGACAACAAGTTTTGTGACATCAAAGGAACGATGAATTCAAAACAATTCCGTATTTGGACTGTAAGGACTGGGGAGTGAACAGTGTTTACATACTACATCAGACAATTTTTCTGTAAAAATAAAATTGATGAAAATTATTTTTTTCATTTATTTGGGCTCTTTAAGGGTGATCTCTGAGTGTTAACTCATTTTCACTTTAACAAAAGCAACACAGCATGTCGTCTGATCAGGGATGTTTGAACTATATCCCACAGTAAAGCACTTTTACTTCTGTATTATTGCACAATTTGACAAAGATTGAGCTTCAGTTCTAAAACTGATTTGAAGAGTTATTATTATTATTATTATTATTATTATTATCACTAAGTGCATCTGCTGACACTTCATCAATGATGATGTGTACAGAAGCATCAGCAGATGTACTTAAAGAGATGATGATGACGATGATGATGATGATAGCAACGCCCTAACTCTGACGGCCTCCAGCACTAATGTTATGTGTACATACAAACAGCCTTAAAAGCCAAACAACCGTATTTCAGCACTATATTAATTCATCAGTGGTGGTGATGATGATGTTGATGATGATGGTCTGTTTTACTGTATATTTCCTTTATTAGGATCACGGGGACATTGCATCCGTCTCTCTCCTGACCCTGGAGCCCAGTGATCGTTTACTAGAGGTGAGTAAACTGAGTGAAGGAATGTGAAACGTCTCTGTCGTGAACTATTGACTCATTCGTGTCTGTTTGTGAACGTGCAGTCCAGTCCGGTGGTGCAACGGCGAGCGCGGGCCTCTCTTTCCGATCTGTCCCACGAGGAGGACATCGAAGCTCTGACGGTTCGGCAGCTGAAGGAGATCTTGGCGCGTAACTTTGTGAATTTTTCGGGCTGCTGTGAGAAATGGGAGCTGGTGGAGCGAGTGCACCGACTGTACCGAGAAAATGAAATCAACCGTAGATCCAGTGAGTGGAAAACTGCGTTTTTGGTTGTGCCAGAAACGGCATAATACTGCCTTTTTCTTTTCTCGTATTGATATTGAAACTCTTAAGTATCGTCCAATACAGGTCCCATATTTTTTCTTTAAAGATACTGTGCTTTAAAATGATCTATTTTTATTGAACTCTAATTAAGGAGATTGTCTCTAAGTAATGGGCTATCATGGCTTGTGTTTAGCTGTATTGTCATGGAGTTTCCCTGCTCAAAAAACAGCTTAGACCAGTATGAGTTCTATGCTGATTTAGCTGTTCTGGTGCTGGTTTAGATGCTCCATAACAGCATCCATAACACAATATATGCACAAAACACAACATATTTTGCTGGAGACAAACTATGCTAGTTGAGCTGCGAAGTTGAACTGTGGAGTTGTTGAGTTGTTAAGCTGTGTTGTTGTTGAGCTGTGGAGTTGTTGAGTTGTAGAGTTGTGGAGTTACTGAGATGTTGAGCCGTGGAGTTGTTGAGCTGTGGAGTTGAGTTGTGGAGTCGTTGAGTTGTTGGGCTGTGGTGTTATTGAGATGTTGAGCCGTGGAGTTGTTTAGCTGTGGAGTTGAGTTGTGGAGTCGTGGAGTTGTGGAGCTGTAGAGTTATTGAGATGCTGAGCTGTGGAGTTGAGTTGTGAAGTCGTGGAGTTGTTGAGCTGTGGAGTTATTGAGATGTTGAGCTGTGGAGTTGTTGAGCTGTGGAGTTGTTGAGCTGTGGAGGTGTTGAGTTATTGAGCTGTGGAGTTATTGAGCTGTGGAGTTGTTGAGGTGTGGAGTTGTTGAGCTGTGGAGTTGAGTTGTTGAGTCGTGGAGTTGTTGAGCTGTGGAACTGAGTTCTTGAGTTCTTGAGCTGTGGAGTTGTTAAATTGTTGAGCTGCTGAGTTGTTGAGTTGTTGATCTGTGCCGTTGTTGAGCTGTGGAGTCGTTGAGCTGTGGAGTTGTTGAGCTGTGGAGTTGAGTTGTTGAGCTGTGGAGTTGTTGAGTTGTTGAGCTGTGGAGTTGTTGAGTTGTTGAGCTGTGCAGTTGTTGAGCTGTGGAGTTGAGTTGTTGAGCTGTGGAGTTGTTGAGTTGTTGAGCTGTGGAGTTGATGAGTTGTTGAGCTGTGGAGTTGTTGAGTTGTTGAGCTGTGCAGTTGTTGAGCTGTGGAGTTGCTGAGTTGTTGAGCTTTTCAGTTGTTTAGCTGTGAAGGTGTTGAGTTATTTAGCTGTGGAGTTGTTGAGCTGTGGAGTTGTAGAGTTGTGGAGTTACTGAGATGTTGAGCCATGGAGTTGTTGAGCTGTGGACTTGAGTTGTGGAGTCGTTGAGTTGTGGAGTTGAGTTGTTGAGCTGTGGAGTTGAGTCGTGGAGTTGAGTTGTTGAGCTGTGGAGTTATTGAGATGTTGAGCCGTGGAGTTGTTTAGCTGTGGAGTTGTTGAGCTGTTGAGGTGTTGATTTGTTGAACTGTGGAGTTGTTCAGTTATGCAGTTGTTGAGCTGCTGAGTTGTTGAGCTGCTGAGTTGTTGAGCTGTGCAGTTGTTGAGCTGTGGAGTTGTTGAGCTGCTGAGTTGTTGAGTTATTGAGCTGTGGAGTTGTAGAGTTGTGGAGTTATTGAGATGTTGAGCTGTGGAGTTGTTGAGCTGTGGACTTGAGTTGTTGAGCTGTGGAGTTGTTGAGTTGTTGAGCTGTGGAGTTGTTGAGTTGTTGAGCTGTTGAGTTGTTGAGCTGTGCAGTTGTTGAGCTGTGGAGTTGTTGAGTTGTTGAGCTTTTCAGTTGTTGAGCTGTGGAGGTATTGGGTTATTTAGCTGTGGAGTTGTTGAGCTGTGGAGTTGTAGAGTTGTGGAGTTACTGAGATGTTGAGCCGTGGAGTTGAGTTGTGGTTTCGTTGAGTTGTTGGGCTGTGGTGTTATTGAGATGTTGAGCCGTGAAGTTGTTGAGCTCTGGAGTTGTTGAGCTGTGGAGTTGAGTTGTTGAGCTGTGGACTTGAGTCGTGGAGTTGAGTTTTTGAGCTGTGGAGTTGAGTTGTGGAGTTGTTGAGTTGTTGAGCTGTGGAGTGATTGAGTTGTTGAGCTATGCAGTTGTTAAGCTGTTGAGTTGTTGAGCTATGCAGTTGTTGCGCTATGCAGTTGTTGAGTTGTTGAGCTGTGGAGTTGTTGAGCTGGGGAGTAGAGTTGTGGAGTCGTTGAGCTTTGGAGTTGTTGTGTTATGCAGTTGTTGAGCTGTGGAGATGTTGAGCTGTGGAGTTGTTGAGATGTTGAGCTGTGGAGTTGTTGAGCTATGGAGTTGTGGAGTTGTTGAGCTGTGGAGTTGTTGAGTTATGCAGTTGTTGAGTTGTTGAGCTGTGGAGTTGTTGAGCTGCTGAGCTGTGGAGTTGAGTTGTGGAGTCGTTGAGCTGTGGAGTTATTGAGATCTTGAGCTGTGGAGTTGTGGAGCTATGCAGTTGTTGAGCTGTGGAGCTGAGTTGTGGAGTCGTTGAGTTGTTGAGCTGTGGAGTTATTGAGATGTTGAGCTGTGGAGTCGTTGAGCTGTGGAGTTGTTGAGCTGTGGAGTTGAGTTGTGGAGTCATTGAGTTGTTGAGCTGTGGAGTTATTGAGATGTTGAGCTGTGGAGTTGTTGAGTTAGCAGTTGTTGAGATATTGAGCTGTGGAGTTGTTGAGCTGTGGAGTTGTTGAGTTGTTGAGTTATGCAGTTGTGGAGTTGTTGAGCTGCTGAGCTGTGGAGTTGAGTTGTTGAGTAGTTGAGTTGCTGAGCTGTGTTATTGTTTGCTAAAGGAGGATGGGTTCCCCTTTTGAGTCTTGGTTCCTCTCAAGTTTTCATGGAGTTTTTTTCTTGCCACTGATGCCACTAATGCCATAGGTGACGCTCATGGGGCCTCGGACCTGGATTTTTCTGTAAAGATGCTTTATGACAGCGCCTGTTGTAGAAAGCACTATATAAATAAACTTTGACTTGACTTTGACTGTTTAGTCAGTTTGGCAGTGCTGCAGTAAAGTTTAATGGAGTTCAGTGCAACAATGGAGTTCAGTGCAGCAGTGGGACACAGACAGTTAGACGAGGAGACAGTTTATCAGTGAACTTTCCAGCCATAATAATTGGTCTCAGGAAGAAACATCTTGAAAAGAGCAACACAGAGAGCAGTGCGTGATGTTTAATTAGAGTTCCTCAGCGTGTGGATCGTAGCGGACTGTGTGGGGGCTGAAAGAGCTAAAGTGAATCACACTGGTGAAGAATGAGGAGGATGGGGCGGTAAATCTCCCACAGAACCTCACTTTGAACACACTCGGCTGGTGAAGGCATTGTTTAAAAGCAGTGTAGACCATTTCGAAATGAGTTTCTCTTTGAAATTCTTTGTTTCATTCAGGTTCATTCTTGATGGCAACAAATACAGACATGCAGCATAGTGTAAATAAATATTTACAGATATGCCATGTGGTGCAAATGAACATTAATTAGTGAAAAATAATATAAAATACAGATAGGAAACATCATTTGTACAGTGTGTGCTCATTCAGGTCTAGGAACTACAGCATCTCCACAGAATTGATTTCTTTCCTTTGTGCTTTTTTCTTTGCAGTGGAAAATGTGAGCAACAGCATCACGGCAGGTAAGCATTTCTACAATTTAGAGAATTAGTTACACATTACTGCTCTTTTTTCACCTGTCTGTAGTTTAAGAAAGTGATCAAAAGACCAAATCCACACAAGATGTAGTCGATCAGCCAAGACGTGTTTGGTGTCTGAAGTTTACTTCTTTAGCTTTAGCACTTGAGCTACGAGGCTAATGTAGTGAAGAATTAATGGAAGCCTATACCCCACCAATTAGATTCATACCTAAGTCATCACACTTGCCTCAAATGTGTTGGTGAAGTTGGCTGCCTATTCACCAGCTTCTGAGTGGAATTTTCCATTCCACCTTAAATTGTGCCTGTGATGCCAGAATGTAACCGCTGCACTGCTTAAGGTGGAACAGAAAATTCCAAGTAGAGCTTGGAGAATAGGCAGCCAACTTCCACTCATTTATGCACCCAGTTCAGCTTAAATTTGTCACATTTCAGTTCAGTATTTAAAAACAGTATAAAAGATTTTATAGTCAGTGAATGTAAATGTAAATCTGTGTGTCTGATTTGACTCTTACTCCTTACAGAGCATCTCTCATTTGCCATCTTTCACTAAAACCACTGTTAATGATCAAAACTAGATAGCCAGCATCAAAAAATGGGTGGGGCTTACGCTAAAGAAACACCCGCCCATCAAATGTACACATCAGAAGTATGTGACCAGCCAAAATATGTTTGGTGTCCAATAGGGGTGGGTGATATGACAAAATTATTATATAACAATACTTCAAAACATTTTCGTGACACATAATATGCATCATATATTTTGTTTGTTTTCGTGAGAGAAATGAAAGAAATCAGAATGAGGGTTTGCATGCACTGAAAAGCCCCATTATTGAGCTCAAATCCAGCCACGTTCTTCAGGGGTTCTTTAATAAGGAAAATGGTTCTATAGAGCACCATGAATGCTTAAAGAACAATGTGCATGATTGAATAGTTCTTTTCATGGTGAAATGGTTCTTCAGATTAATGGAGAATGTGCTGTATATAGTTCTATGTAGAACCTTTTTGAAAAGGGTTCTATATAGCACCAAAACGGGTTCTACTATTGTAATAAGTTTGATATCAGAATAGCAGAACCCCTTTTGGTGCTGTATCATCATTAGAGCATCATTGGTGCACAGTCTCCAACAATCTGAGGAACGCTTTCATGATGCAGAGAACCCTTTAATCATGCAATGATCAATTGTTTGAAGACTGAGCAATTGATTAAACAAGTGCCATCAGGTGAGCTCCAGCTCGTTTGGAATGAAAACTTGCAGCACACTGGCCCTCTGCGGATTAGATTGGACACCCCTGCGTTACCATTACCCATGAAACCATGACACATAGCGAACCGTCGGCCCACCGCACCACTGCGCCTGCAGTGTCTCAGCTGATCGACTACCTTCGGGGTCAGTGGACAAACTGAACATTTGATTTTTTAAGAATCAGTGCAGAAAGTGTTTACACCTGTGGCTTTAAGTTGATGGTGTTTATCTGGTTCTGTGTGATCTGATCAGAGTGTGAATGTGTTCCTCTGTGAACGAGTGCTGCTGTGTTTTAATGCTGTTCTGCTCCGTCTGTCTCTAATAAAGTGGTGGCATATCCTCCTCCGATATGTGATGGAGGAGTCGGAGGTAAGAACTTCACTGACTGACACGCTCCTGATCCTCCTCAGTGCATGCTGGGAAATGAAGTCTTTTTCTTTGAACCCATCTCAGTGTGCTGATTCATTTCCACCTGCATGATCCATCTGTGTTAACACCTCATTTGTGTTCTCTCATTGATCTGATCGGGTCTGTACACTGCCTGTCAACAGTTTGCAGACACAAATTATCATGTTTTCATTGTCATTTTTTACATAACTGACCATATTACAGTCTAATCAGGTTTATTTAAAGGAAAACAGTATCACAGGTAAATATTTGTGCCTGTATTTTTTATTTACCTTTATTTAACCAGGAACATTTTCACTGCGATTTAAAATCTCTTTTACAGGAGTGTCCAAGACAGAGAGCAACACATAATAAATTGTTCCCACAAAACAAATTACACATTAGAACATTAAACAGAAAAAGCAATAATCAACAACCCCCAATAATTCATTTCAAATACTGACAGTCTTAGCCACTTACACTGTCTGAAGAATGTTTTTAAAGCTATTGAATGACACATGTTCCTGAAGTTTTAAGTCTTTCTGTGACAAATTCCAGTCAGATGGTGCAGCATAACTAAAAGCTTGTTTTCCTAATTCAGTATGCATGGTGGGAATCTTACAAAGATACTAATTTAGAAAATTACAGATTAAAAGGTAATAAACAAAATGTAGATTTATAAATTAAAATACATCATATAGTCTGAGGACAGGGCTGCTCTTTCATTAAGAACACAGTTGAGAGAAATCAGCCAACAATTAGTAATAAATCTAAAAGCTTCGTGTTAAACAGTATCTAATGTGCGTAAGAAGTACAAAGGTACATGTAATTGACGTCTCTGTAATCAATTACTGGTACAAAAAGTAGCAGAAACAAGTTTCTTTTCAGCTACAAAGAACAAACAAGACTTTTTATCTTCGGTTGCAAAATATGAGGCTGAAATGTCAAAACACTGTCTAATACTAAACCAAGATATTTGTATGTAGACACATTTTCACCCACATTTAAAGTGGTGACAGGCAGAAGGTGAATTTATGAATTGTGGCAGACTAATAATATATACCGGAAAAAGCAGAGGCCCCAGAGTTGATCCTTGAGGTACACCCTTAGCCATCACCAATGTGTAAAACCTTCAGCCTGCACACACTGTTCTACCAGATAAATAATACATAATGCTACATTGGCAATAAAACTAAAGGCCACCCCCAATTTCTCCCCTTGATGTGATGTCAGCACTCCTTTCAGGTGTTTAAAGCACCTTTTGATCAAAAGAGTTTCAATATCTGCATACAAATATGTATATATTTAGTCAAAACACTGTTCATACCAAAGAAGACACTTTGATGAGCGTTAAGCTGAAGATAAATATCCACAATTAGTATTTATGATGAAATAAACCGGCACAATGGTTAATTATTATTTTAAAGGGCCCAAATGCTACATTTTTAAACCTTTTTTCCTTACAAAGGTCCACCAAAAACAGGCATTTCATTTCCACATGATCATCTTTATCCCTTACAGTTAAACAGGCTGGTTCTGTTACTGCGCCTTTAAGACTGATATATGTAAATGAGCAGAAACATTCCATAACCTCAGTGTGAATGGGCAGAGCTGAACTGCTGTAGGCTAAATAGGCGAATATCTGTATATATGTAAATGCATAGTTTTTTGTGTCACCACAAAAACAGTGAAGCTGTTTGTGCAGCTTAGTTTATATATGAGCTGTATGGACTGGCAAGTGAACACCTACATGCTTATATATTGTACTACGTCAAGCCTCTACTTCAAATTTCTAAAAGCAAGGGAAGTTGTTTTCCATGATATGGGCTCTTTTTAGTGGGTCAGTTTGTGTTTAATGTTAGCGTAAAATCACGTTTCAGGGCTCTAATGATTTACTCTGCTGGCTGAAGTCCGAACGTCGATGGAAAGGCCGCCCTCCAATTTAGCCCAATATCCTGAGTGCCTTCCTGGAGAGGATCCAGAAGGTTCTGCTGACGTTCTGCAGCTTAAGCACACTTTATTAGAGCAGAGCGTTTAATAAAGCCTAATAAAGAGGGACGTCGGCGAAGAGTTCCGGCGGTCTGCAGGTTTCTCTTCCACAGCTTTCACTCAGACTAGCAGAGAAGTATAAAAAATAAAAACCTCTCACCATGTCCACTGAGACCTCCAGAACTTCTGCTGTAAAACTCTCATTAATAAAGAAAGTGTTCCTCAGAATAGCGTCTCAGCTCCCACAAGAAGCCAAGCGTTCTCAGGTAGAACATTCAAAAAAGCAGCTTAAAACTGACTTTTAGTGTAGTTTTTCAACATTTCATCATCTGATTATCAGGTTGTTCATCACTTATTTATTAGTACTTATTGAATTAAATAAATTCTAATTGAATTAAGGACTTTTGAGTAAGTTTATTTATTGAATTAAAATAGTTTATTCTAAAAGTAATTTTTATATTTCATTATATTCCACTACAGTTCCTTTTGTGTTTTTGTTTTCCATGTTCAGCATTCTAATATTTTCTGTTGTGCTTGTTTTTATTTGCTCTTTTAAAGCATCAATCTGTTTATTTAATGCATGAAACACATTTATTGGTTTCAGAAGTATAAATCTGTGACCTCTTTTGTGAGTTATCTGCTTCCAGCAGTCTGACTGTGATTCTGTAGGAGACAATTCAGGGCATCATAAAATCTCAAATCTTTTGCTTAAAGAAAATCAGACAGGTGTTTATATGTGTCTGATGTTTCAGACTGATGTGTGATGATGTGTGTATTGAACTCCAGAAGAGCTTTTAAGTGATGCTGATTTACTGCACAAAATTATCTGCATTTTATTCATTTTACTGCGTTTGTAACAGAAATAAATGTTATATTTCTCTGTAATGCTAATGAAGCTAGATTTAGGCCCAATTTCTACATTTTATAAATGTTTGTATATCTGCAGTGGTAGATATGTACAATAAAAATATTAGATTTCATTCTTGGCCCACAGCCACCATATCAGTGCATCCCTAATTAGTTTAGTACAATTCTGTATTTTTAGAAATATGATTAATATACAAATGTAACTGGTGGAATTATTTACACAGTAGTGGAGTTGATTATAATTCTAACATTCCAGAATCAATGTACTTTATTATTGCTATGAATGCTAAAGCTAAATAAAAACAATTTCAGTAGTTTGGGGAAGAACCTTTTCTGTTCCACTGGAACTAAGGGGCCTAAATCCTGAAAAACAGCCCCAGCCCATCATCCCTCCTCCACCAAACTTAACTGTTAGCACTATGCATTCTGGTAGGTAGTGTTCTACTGGCATCCACCAAACCCAGATTCATCTATCAGACTGGTAGATAGAGAAGCATGATTCATCACTCCAGAGAACATATTTCCACCACTCCAGAGTCCAGTGGTGGCGTGCTTTCCACCACTCCAGCTGACGCTCGGCGTTGCACATAGTGATCTTAGGCTTGTGTGCAGCTTCTCGACTGTGGAAACCCATTTCATGAAGCTCCTGATTCACAGTTCTTGTGCTGATGTTGCTTCCAGAGGCAGAGGATAGGATGTTGTTGCTCCATTTCACAGTAATAGCACTTACAGTTGGCTGGGGCAGATCTAGCAGGACAGAAATTTCACAAACTGACTACTGCCAATGTTTCTCTAGACTGCACAGCTATGTGCTTGATTTTATACACCTATTAGCAATATGTAATGATTAGCAATGATTAATATGAACAGTGCACAGATTTAACAAGGTGAAGAGGGTCATTTCAGATTTCAGGTTGACTTTAATGTGTCTGTATGTGTTGTATACAGATGGTGGCACTGTAGCTCCTCTGGGTTCAGTGGATGAGAACCTGTGCCGTATCTGTATGGACGCTGTGATCGACTGTGTCCTGCTGGAGTGCGGTCACATGGTCACCTGCACTAAGTGTGGAAAGAGGATGAACGAGTGCCCGATCTGCAGGCAGTACGTAGTCCGGGCCGTGCACGTCTTCAAATCCTAACGCTCGCACTCACGCTGATCCGGACCGGACTCAGAGGCGCCCGCTACAGGACTGCTGCTGGACAGACGCCTCCGATGGACAGAATGCAAACATTTTCATCTCATTCCCTGACTCTAGCTGTCACCCTCTTGAGTTCCAGTCTGTGTGTGCGTACTAACCCAGGGTAAGTGTGTTTTAGTGATTGAAATAAAACGTAGGAGAGGATCCAACGCGGTTTACTCTCCTCCAAATGTTTCATGTGCAATATTAGATAAAGAACTGAAGTGTGTGAGTAGAGGGTGAACCATTCAGCGTTAAAGACGCTAATCATCCGTAGCAGGACTGAAGCCAGCAGTGCTGTACAGCATGGAGGTGCCAAATACACGTCCCACCGTTACTGTTAGAAACAACACGCCAGGCTCTGAATTACAGAGCCTGGCAACCGCATGACCAGCTAAGAGCGGATACACAGACAACCTTAAGCACCACATCACTGCAGACAGAGCTAGAGCGCACACTGAGCCAGAGAGAGAGAGAGAGCGTGTTCAGCACCTTCACTGGATCTGCTTCAGCCATTATGTAGCCACTGACCTCAGTATGGAAGGCCATTCCTGCCAGGTAGAGAAGAAATCACCTGTTCTTCTGTTTCTCGCAGCAGTTGGTCCACATATTCACTGAGTACAGCAAAATAATGACTTATTGTCCCATACTATTCATGTATTATAAAATAATGACATATTATCCTAAAATATTTATGTATTATTAAAAAATAATGACTTATTTTCCCAAATAGTCACTTAGTATTTCAAATTGACATTTTTCCAAAATATTGGTGTATTATTACATATTATGACTTAATTTTCCAAAATATTTATGCATTATTTTAAAATAATGACTTATTTTCTCAAAATATTCACGTGTTATTATGAAATGATTTTTTCTTGACATAACAGCTTTTTTCTTTAACTATTAACTAAATATCAAAAAATAATGACTTATTTTCTTAAAATACTGACTTAATATCTCAAAATAATGACATTCTTTCAAAAATATTGACCTAGTATTTCAGAATTACAGATGATTTTCTGAAATATTGACTTAATATCTAAAGATAATGACTGATTTTCTTGGAATGCTGACGTGGTATCTCAAAACAAAGACTTATTCTCTGAGGAATTGACTTCAATATAATGATTGACTTTCTCTAAATATTGGCTTAATACTGTGTCGCAAACAAAGACTTGTTTTCTAGAGACTTTGTAACACTATGTTAAAAACATTATATATTAAATTATTGTTATGAGTTATTGTTATGACTACTAAGTCATTATTATGACATAGTAAGAAAATATTACAATATACTATTATTACATTATTTTTGAAATACTAACTCAATATTTTTGAGAAAATGTCATTTATTGTTAACTGTTTATTATATATCTCTCAACATTTTGACCTCCTGCTGCAAGAAACAGAATTAAAATCATATGTAAAATCATATTTTTTCCCTCTATCTGGTGAGAATGGTCTTCCATATTAAAGCGATAGTTCAGCAAAAAAATGTACTTTGTATACTTTCTCTCCCAAACGTGGCCGATGAGCCAAACTGTTTGCTTCTTTAGCTTTGGCACTGGAGCTGCGAGGCTAATGTAGCTAACAACTAATGGAAGCTTATACCCCACCAATTGGTATGTTGCTAACTGCAGACCTAAATCATCACACTTGACTTCATGTAGTAATCTGCATGAGACATGCAGTTTACACACTGCTGATTGGTGGGTATAATCTGTCATTATTTGTTAGCTACATTAGCCTCGTGGCTTCAGTCTTAGCTGAAGTGTTGTAAATTTGTTTTTTCTCTGAACTGTTGCTTTAAGCTCTGTCAGGTTGATGTTGGTCTGATATCTGTCCAGTCTGAAGCTGCATGATTTTCTCCATCACGTTCCATGAATCAGTGTTTATGCTCATCAGGGACCCTCAGGTGTTCCACATTTGAGCTCTAGCACACCTGAACCAGGAAACAGAACCACTTCTGTTTACTCTGATATACCAGAAACATGACTGCAGACCACTAGAGGGTGCCAGAGAAAGAGTCCACAGTGAAAAAGAGTTGAGCAGTTCATCAAAATAAATTAAATGATGTTTGTAGCAGAGCCAGTTTATGACATGACTGCTAACGCTACTTTTAGGAAGCTAGAAGGATGTATGAGATAAACAGAGCCAGTTTAGAGGGAACCTGACGCCTTCCTTTCACTCGATTATACCAAAAACATTACTGCATAACACTAGAGTGCGCCAGAGAGAGTGAATTAATGGAAGTAAATGGAGCCAAAAGGCTAAAAATGTTACATGTTCAATGTGTAGTTTAAGGAACGTCCTCTGTCCTCCTTTTTGTGAGATAATAAGGATGTCTTGCTGATTACCGATTATTGAATGCTGATTTGTTGGTGAGCTGATCAGGTTATTGGCTGTGCACTCACTGACATCATTAATGTAAAACCATTTCAGGAAATCCTGTAACTAGAATATTAAAAATATGATTGCAGTAGTAACAATTATTATATGCTGTGCAGTGTTTATAAAACGAGTGCATTTCTTTGTTTAAAAAAAAAAAAAAAGACAAATTTTTACACAAAAGCTTCATACACCCCTATTCATTTTGGCAGCTCGTGAGCGCCCTCTGTTGTCTGACCAGTGCTGAAGAGTTCTCCCTGCATAGAGCTTCTCTCTCAGGTGTGCTGAAATGTGGAACATCAGAGTGTTTTTGAGGACTAGATTAGAAAAAAGTCCAATAAAGTTAGTATGTGGCACCAGAACATTCTTATTTCTGTCTCAATTGTCAGTCAAAATCTACTTTGTTTGTTTAGTTTTAAGCAATATCATAAGAGTTGCGTATCTTTTGTTGTCCAATACCTCACTATATCAGTTTTCTTCTCGTCCATAAAATACAGCAGCGGTGCTACATGGACTGTAACTATGTTTCAGAGTTTGATTTGAGGATTCTACTTTTGTTAAACCATATTTTTGTTTTCCCTGTGAATGTGTTTTTTTATATTAATATTTTTCCAGAGTAGTAAAGAGTAAATCTGTTCCATAATCCTGTATTACACCCACATTATATCTGTCATACCTGTGTGTCCGCTTAGAAATTATATCAATTGCGTACTGTACAGTAAATCACGATTTTTTGATAAACATGTGGATGTATGTGATTAAATATTTTTCCTATTTTTTCCTATTTTTTTTTTTCAGTTGGTCATGTTTCCTTCTTTGGTAGAATGTATACAGTTGGTCATCAGTGTAAACTAGAAAACACAATCGATAGCAGATTAAGTCTGCGTTGGGGTTTTTATCCAAATCTTTCTTGTTGTGAGCGTTTTTGTTTTTTTCCCCTTATGTTGCTCTAAACCCAAAAAAGCCCCGTAAACCTTCAGTCACTGAGCCCTGTAGCCCACACACACACTGTGCACCTGCCCTGTCGCTATTCCACTCTAATTCACCTGAACAGGCAGATCACAAAGTTGTGAAATAAACTAAGAAAACGTCTTTCACTCCTGCATCCATGCAAAATGATAAAACTGCACTCCAAATAGTTTTTACTAAGGAATTTTTAAAGTTAGATTCCTAATTGCATCTTAAATATATAAGTTAATCTGCTGCAACAATGTATTGAAATCATGGTGTAAGCTCATAAAAAACACCTGGGATACCTTACCAATAGCTTAGCACCACCATAGCAACCACCTGGGATAATAGCAGTAGCCTAGCAACACCTTAACAAACACAGGGAATAACATAGCATTGGCCTAGCATCCATACCATAGCAACAGTTTAGTAAATGCCTTAGCGACCACCTGGGATTCCATAGCAATGGCCTAGCAACACCTTTACCAACCATTTAGGATATCATAGCAGCAGCATAGCAACACCTTAGCAATCACCTGGAATAACACAGCAATGGCCTAGCATCACCTTAGCAACTACCTAGTAACAACCACCAAGTAACTTCCTAACAACAAGCTGGAATACTATAGCAACCTCATAGCAACACTGTAGCAACTACCTGGGATAACACAGCAATGGCTTAGCAAGAGCTTAGCAACCACTTGGAATACCATAGCATCGAACTAGTAAACACCTTAGTGACCACCTGGGATTCCTTAGCAATGGCCTAGCAACACCTTAATAATACCGTAGGATTGCACAGCAACAGCCTAGCAACCCCTTAGCAACCACCTAACAACCACCAAGTATTTCAGCTTAATTCAGTCATTCTCTTTTTAAGATGAAATTCAGAACCTGATTGGGAAAACAACATTCATAACTAAAAAACTAATTGGAGTGCATTTTTAAAATTTTGCCTGGTTTCATGAGTTACATTGAACGTTTTTTCTTGAATTTTTATGTAAATTGGCTCGGTGGCCAGACAGGCTGTGGGTGAGTTGGTGTGGAATGACCTGTACGTGTTTGTGTGAGTTTAATGCTGCTATTTCTATAAGATGTCACTAACAGGAAACAAACAGAGAAGACAACATACACACAACGAACAAGAAAAAAAATCTATGGAACAAATGTATTAAACAGAAAAAAAGTGTTTGAGGGGCGTGGTCTTTGTATTTTAGAACTTTTTATTTTGATAATATCAAAGATGATTTAATAAATTTAATAAAATATGGTACCTTAAACTAACAAAATGGGTTTTCTTATTTTCATCATTGATGAAGACTCTGTGCAATATTTACTTTTACACTAGGTACTGTGCCAGTCAGAAACGCTTCATTCATTTAGTTTCCACCCAAAATAGCTGTTATGAACAAATTATTCCTTTTTTAGCTTCAGGGAAAGTTAAGAAAACATATCTAATGAATAAAAAATTACACAGAAGCCTCAACAAACAAACATAATATCACACTAAATATCCCCACTTCCAGATTTCAGTCTTAGAAGTTAGTTTTGCATTTTTAGTGCATTCCATTTAGCCTGAAAGGCGGATGTCGGAGCTGGGAGTGATTCAAACTCATTCCAGTAAAACACTCAGAAACCAAAATGGACGCCTCCAAGAAAACCTTTGTTGTGCCAATTGATAACTACGCATTAGAGTATTTTGCAAATCCAAACACTGTAGCATCATGTCCACAGACGTTGGACAGTACTGCGTACAGCTGATTTAATTAGACACAAACAGGCTTGCTAAAAAACAGTGTAATACTACAGCTTTTACTACTGTTGATGCGCAGTGCAACCATCTTGAATTTTGAGCTTGGATTTTATAGTTTCTGATTAGGAAATCTGACTTGTTGGGGGTTCCAGTTTAAACTTCCTACTGGGAACTCATACACCATTTACAGAAGTATCTTATATCTAATCTTCTCAGAAGTGTCTCCTGAAAAAATCAATAATTAATAAGTATAAATAAATGATAAAAGACTTAATGATAAAATAAATGCTCTCTGACTTTTGCATAGTTTGTGTTCTTAACCAGAAGTGATACACAATTCACACAAATGCCAAGTTAGCACTGCTAAGTTTGCAGTAGTTAGCACCAGAATTGGAAAATTGCAACCGCAAGTGGAAAATGTGTAAATTATATTTCTTGCTGAATTACTTTCCTAAAAGTAATAATGTTCTGTAAGCTGAGGTGTCTGAAGGCTAAATTCCTGGTTTTACTTGTTTACAGTGAAGGTCTCTATGAGTTTGGGTTCTGCTTAAAGATAAGCTAAATGTCAGAGAGTTCAATCCTAACTGAGCTCTCTGAAATATTCCCACTGAGTCAGTCTGAAATGCCACTCTGATATCAGAGC